CAGCAGCTCCCCCTTACGAAGCCTCACAGGGACAGGCCAGAGCTTACGCACCCTCACAGTAACCTGTGAGGGAGCTGCTAGTGCTATTCTCATTTTAGGGATGGGGAGACTGAGGTTATAAGAGGTTAAATGGTTTGCCCAAGGTGACGCCAGGAGCGAGTGGCAGTGCCAGGACGGAAACAGGTGTGTTCCTGTTGGGATGAGACTAGCTGCTGAAATCCTTTAGCACAAGGCCTGGGGGTAGGGAGTCATCTCAGTGAATGGTGGACAGTGAGTGAGGGAGTGAGTCAGCAAGTGAATGAATGAATAAGAATGATGCTTAAGGGACTCTACCCTTGGGGAGGTGTGGGAAGGACACAGGCCTCTCCCACATTGCCCCTCCAGGGAGACGCCTGAGACTACAGGGCTGGCGGAAAGGCCCGAATCTCACCCCCCTAACAACAAGGATTCCCAACTTTCTGGTCCCAGGAAGCCCCTGGCTGATCCTAAGGAGCACTGAGTTGGCACCACTTTGGCTTGTCCTCTACTGTAGACCCAACTCCCTGCTGCCCGTGAAGCTGACCATCACCCTTGCCACCCCCACCTGCACCCTCGTCCTGGGCTGAAGTCAGGGTTGGGATTGGGGTCTGTGAAGGGGATGGGATAGGGAAGGAGCTGGCCCCTCCATCCACCCCTCTCTCTGCTCCCGTCCCCCTCTGCAGCTTACTGTGGGGAGCCCTCAGGATGGAGGCTGTGCACACTCAGAAGGCTGCAAGTTGTGGGGGGGCAGGGAGCTGGGGCCCCCTGCTGGCCATGCACCCTTGAGTGGGAGTGGGCTGGAAAGAGTCTTCATTCATTCAACAAATATTCATGATGGCGCTTCTACTACATTCCAGGCCCTGTGTTAGGCGCTGGGGCTCAGCAGAGCACACACACACACACACACACACACACACACGCAAGCACACACGCACACACTCCTGATGTCTAAGGTTCCACTGAGGAGCAGACTGGTGTCTGTGTGTCTGTCGTGTGCTCCCCTCTACCGCGTTCCAAAGGACTGTCTCCACCCCCAGAAAACTGAGAGCTCCCTGTGGGCAGCAGCTGTGCCTCCCCCATCAGACTGGGATTCCCCAGGGCATGGTTGTGACACTCCCATCAGACTAGGGGTTCCTAAGGTTAAGAGATGAGTCTCCCCTATCAGGCCGGGATTTCCCCAGGACACAGCGGTGCCACCTCCATCAGACTGGGGGCTCCCACGGTCTATAAAGCCTCTCCCGTCACACCCAGAACCTCCCTGGATAGGGTTGCCAGATACAACACGGGACACCCGTTACATTTCAATTTCAGATAAAGAATGAACAATGTTTTAGTATAAGTATGTCCCAAATATTGCATGGGGTATACTTACACTAAAAATTATTCGTTGTTTATCTGAAATTCACATTTAGCTGACTGCCCTGTGTTTCTATTTGATGATCTGGCACCTCTGCCGTTGGAACTCATTCCTGCTGCTGGCATCTGGCCTGGCCAGATGGCTCAGGTCGTGCCTGGACTCAGCCCCACCCGCCCAGTCATAGCTCCTGTCGGCCCCTAGAAGGCTGTCCTCCCCCAACGGAACCCCCTGCAACCCTAGCTCCCAGGTGGATACCCCCTCAGCACCTGACGCATGTGACCCAGCTTATGGGCCATCAGGAACACTGCTAGGTCCCCTGTCTGATGAACCCAGAGAGAGAGGGACAGAGCCACAGCTGCAGAGAGGGACCAGAGTGTCAGGGAGGGGCGGCAGAGATGCAGAGAGGCAGAGATAAAGGGCCTCAGAGACCCAGCAGATACAGACAGAGGGGGAGAGAGCCGAGACAGAGAGCTAAAGGCCCCCTGCCCAAGCTGTTTTGGGGAGACCAGTACAGGGGTGTAGGGCCCTGAGAGACCCCAGGGTTCACCTGAGCAGATCCGGAGCAGGGGGAGGCAGGGTCCTGAGGGGGCCTCCTGCACTGGCAGGTAGAGGTGGGAATCCGCTCAGACCCCATTCCTGGCTCTGGCTGCTCTCCCTTTGCCCTGTCTCCCAGGGGCAAACACAAGGACATTCATGCCTATGGGGCAGCCAGAGCGGCTTTTAAAATTAGCCTTGTTAACCAGATCTGGTTATTTCAGGAGGCTCCGTCCCGGGCTGTCCCCTTGGCAGCAGCAGAGAACATCCAGGTCCCAGTCCCCTGGCACTAGGCAGGCCTGGGCCTGTGGTCATCTCTGGCAAAGTTGCCCCAGGGTTAGCCATGGATGTCCAGGGACACCCTAGCTGTGTGGGGCGGGGAGCAGGGAGGACCCCCATACTGGGCATGTGTTCTGTGTCAGGCACCTTGCAAGGTATCTAAGAGGCCATGACGGTCTTTTTAAAGACATAGGTAGGGACGTCTATGTTACAGGTGAGGAAACTGAGACTCAGAGAGATAGGGAGCCCCTGGATATGAGGCAAGGGAGAAGGGGATGACGTGACCATGGGTCTGCCAGGACCCACGTCCCTCCACAGGAGGCCTCTACCCTCCTGCGTCTGGGAAACCTCTGGCTGCCTCTTCCACCACCAGCTATTTCTAAGCAGAGGCCAGCACTTCCCGGAGCCTGGTGCCCCCCGCCCAAGCCCTAATTCCAGCCTTGGGTCAGTGTCCTGGCTTGCCCTCCCCACCTCAGAACCCAGAGTGCGCCCAGTGCTGGCGAGGGCACAAGAGAAACAGCCCTGGACACTTTGATCCTCAGCCTCCCCCGGTCCCACCTTGGAGTCAGGAAGGCTGGGGTGGGGTGGGGGGTTCTGGGCTGACACCCAGCCCAGAGGCCTGCCCTTTTCGCAGGTGGGGCCTGGCACCACCTGGGAGGGGGGGTTGGCAAAGGCAGGTCTGTTTGCCAACCTGCCCCACCTGCTTCAGCCACCATGGTCCCCAGCTGCTCCATCCTCAGCTATGGCATAGAGCTGTGGGGGAGGGGTGCAGAGGGTGTCAGAGCCCTTCCACGAAAGGCTCCTCATCCCCGGTGAAGCCTGAGACACTGAGGCTCGGGAGCAACTGACAATCGTCTCTCTGCAAAGCCTCACATCTGGACATCTGTGCCCAGCCCCGGTTCTTGCTGACCCCACACCCTCCAAAGGTTTATTGATATGATCCTTATTAACAACTGATCATATCCCACCCACACTAGTTTTTGAGCCCACCATGTTCCAGGGCTGCACCCTAAATGGGTATCAGTCTATTTAATCCTCACCAGTGAAGATTAGAGAGGTGCCAAAGAGGTCAGGACTATTAGCATCCCCACTGTACAGATGAAGAAATCGAGGCCCAGAAAGCCAAACTCACAAGCCCAAGGTCACAGAGCTAGGAGATGAAACAGAACTCAAGGCTGACTCCAAAGCTAAGGTCTTGACCTTCGGGCTGGACTGTGGCTGCTGGCCCTTAGGAGGTGAGATGGAGATGGGGGTGAAAGTCTGAGGCAGAGAGGACTGAAAGCTAGGGGCCGGGAGGGGGCACCGAGGGTGGAGAATAGGGGTAAGGGTGATCAGGGGAGTGGAGTGGGGTTGGTAGGGGACCCACGGAGCCCAAGACAGTCTAGAGCCAAACCCAGGTGGGTGGGGTGGGAGTTTGGGTGTGAGTCACAGCCACTGGGTGGCCTGAAGCATCTAAAGACTATAGAAGGGCTGTCAGGAAAAGCGTGGCACTTCCTGACAGGCCCTGGGTACACTCACAATTGTCCTGAGGAGGGCATGGGGGCTGGCAGGCAGGCTGTCAGGAGGCCAAGGCTGGTCTCTTTGGGGCCCAAGTCTGTGCCTGCCCCCAAACCCAGTGCCCCTAAGCCACCTTCCAAACCTGCTCTTCTTCCTGTGGTCCTACCTCAGAGATCCCCATTCATCCAACACCCAAGCTGGACCCTCCCTCAGCCCCATACACCATCAAGCCCTCTACCCAGTCGCTGTGCCCCCCACCTCCCAGGCCTGCCCACTGTCCTCCTGGCCACCACCTGTCCCCCAACAACAACCTCCTCACTACTTTCCCTGCCCAGCCGGTCTCCTCCACAGCTTCTCTATGGCACGCCCCATTTTAAGCCCTCCATGGCTCCCCACTGCCCTCAGCATAGAGCCCCTTGGTCTGGCATTCAAGGCTGTGTGGTTACACTCCTGCAATCTGAAACGTTTGCTACCCTCACGCGCCATCTCTCCTCCACACCTTTGCACCTGCAGCTTCCTGGGACACCTCTCCTCTGAGCCTTCCCACACTTCATGCCTTTGGCCCTTCAGTAACCAGGCATCAGTGATGTTCAGGCCCCACTGCTTCAGGAAGCCCATGCTTCCCACACCCAGGAGAGGCCCCCTGCTCATGCGCTTTCCTGGGTCACTGACGGCCCTTTATCATAACATTCTGTCCTCCCCACTAACACTGTGAGCTCCTCCAGGCCGGGACCTCAATGGATTCATCCAGAACACCTGCCATGCCCCATAGATGCTGGTAAGGGTTTAAGTCCCTGTAAGTGATCCCTTGGCGCCCCCTTCTGGCCACATTGGGGGATATTCTTGGGATTCACTGAGCTTCAGAAGGGACTGAAGGAAGCAATTCATTCAATTTTGCACCTCCTGTGTGTCAGACACTGTGCTAGATGTTTGATGTCCATCAGCTCATTTAATCCTCATAGCAAGCCTTTGGGAGAGGTACCATTACTCCCATTCTACAGATGTGGAAATTGAGGTTCAGGGAAGCTACCTAAGCTGCCTGATGCCACTAAGAGACAGTACCAGGACTCAAACCTCAGACTGCTTGGCTCCGAAGTCCTGTTCTTCCCCCCGTGGGGGAGGGGGAACAGGGTGGAGAGAATAGTGCCATGAGGGGGAGGCCACGCCAGTAGTCATGGAGTCTGCAGCTTGCTCTTGGAAGTGCCCCTGGACCCAGCAGCTCTGATGGGGATTGGTTCTCCACTTTGGTACCACCGGAGCATCTGCCTGGGGTCAATCAGGGTGGGGACCTTGCACAGCCAGGCCCAACACTGGGTACAATAGCGATAAATAGAATTTATTTTGTACACCTGTTACGACATACACACAGCTGTGGGAGCTTCCAAAATGGGTGTTGGGGCTGGAAGGCTGGCCTTTGACGTGGCGCCTAAAAAGTGTGAACACACACACAAGGATGTGGACTCACAGCAGCTATGACTGGCTGCCCCCTCCATGGGGGACAGGTGCGGAGGTGAGGCCTGTGGCTCTATGCACCTGGGGTGCCCAGCAGCATGGGGTGGTAGGGGTTAAGCAGGGTGCTGGCTGGGGAGCCAGGTAGGTCCCCCTTTCCCCGCAAGGGGTCGCACGTGTCTGTCAGTGGACAGGGCATTGGCAGATCTGCGGTCGAGCTTGAGGGTCCAGGAGGGGCAACGGGCATGACCAGCTCCCTGCCCCTCAGCCCACCTGGGACCCCAGGGATCCCAAGAAGCAGGATAGGGTGGTAAGAGGCCCCTGGGAGGACAGTTCCCTCTTCTGGGGCAGGTACATGAAATCAGAGTCTTCAGGGACCTCTGAAATAATCTTGTCCGTTTGTAGCAGAGGTGCCCAGAGAGGGAGAGTGATTTGCCCAGAGCCACACAGCAGAATCCAAGTCAGAACCCAGAATGCCCAGCTCAGCGCTCTCTCTGCCACACCTCATACCCTGCTTCCTCCTGGTAGGCTATGTGCATATCTCAATACCCTCTCCCATGCTGTTCCCCCTGAGTCCAGAAGGGTGCCCAGGGGTGATGAGGGGCTCATGGCAGGAGCAGACCAGGCATAGAGTCCTGCTTCAACTGTCCACTCCCTTCCTCAGCCCAGACCCCCAGCCCGGGAGGTGGGGATGATGCCAGCAGCTTCCCCGCTCCCTGGTCTGGATGGCTCCACCCTGCGGAGCAGCCCAAACTGGTAGGCCAGGGAGAAGGCTGGGAAGGTAGAGAACAGTCCACAAGCTGGGGTTGGCCTTGAGGGCAAGGCCCCTTCTGCCTGGACTTGACACAGCATCTTCACCTTGTGCTTCTACGGCCTCGTCTGCAGGGCAAAGGGAGAGGGAGACACCATGAAACAGGGAGAAGGAAGCCTGAGAGGCTCACCCTTAGGGTTCCAGGCTCAGGATCCTTTCTATCCATTGGGAGCCCCCAGGCCCTGCCTCCCCCAGAAATTCCCACTGAATCCTCCCAGCAGCTTATGGGCTGAGGCAAAGCCCCGCTATACAGATAAGAAAACTGAGGCCCAGAGAGGGGTCATGATCTGCCCAAGTCACCCAGCAACCGAGTAGCAGAGGACTGACCCCCAGATATATTGCTCTCCCCCAGAGGGGAGAAAGGGAACTGGAAGGAGTTAGCCCAGCCCCCTACCCATGAACCACCCTCCCTAGCAAGCAAGAGTTGAGGGGCAGGGTCTGACCTGCTCAGTTTCTTCTTCAGAGAGGGTGGCCGACTAACAGCCCTGCACAGGCAGACAATGGGGGTGAGGCAGGTGACAGGACAGATGATGGCGTGGGGCAGGAGGCACAGGCACGCAGATGTCACCAGCAGTACCCAGGATGGACCAGCCCAGTCCCTTCTGGCTTGGGGCACTCTTGGCCCAGCCCCACTCCTGTCCCGCTGATGCCTCTCCCCAACAGTCAGTGCCCTCCCAGGGGGCTTCCTCCTAGGGTAGCACCAGGCCGTCCGCCCCGACCCCGCCAGCCCCCCTCAGCTGTACCTACCAGCTGGGGCATGTGCTGCTCAGATGCTTCCAGCTGGATCTTGATCTCGGGACACGCAGGGTCCCCCGACTTGCCGGCGTCTGGGTGGGGTGACCGCGAGGGGCCTGGGGAGGGGAGCAGGAGGGAGCCACCTCACTGGCCGCGGGGAGGCACCAGGGAAACGGGGGCATGGATGGGCGGTCGGCACCGTGTTTCCCAACCCCTCCAAGTCCCTCCCTCAGGGACCCTCACACAACACCCTCCCTTGCCCCTCCTGTCATCCTCCAAGGTCCTTCTAGCAGCAACCAGTTCTCCCACCCACCCACTAACCACTGTCCAGGCACACAGTCCACCAGGAGGAAACAGGGCATGAGGTGTGGCAGAGCACGCTGGGCGGGAGTGCTGCGCTCTGATTGGGCTCCTCTGTGTCTGTCCCATGTTAGGGCCGTCAGGTCCTGGACCTGGGTCCCATCACATACCCACCATCTAGGGCATGAGAACTGGTCTCGGACACTCTGTGCCTAGCCCTGTCCCCTCCAATCCTTCTTGGTGGGAGAAGCTGCCCCTGGCCTGATACCTGGTGAGCTGCCCCCACTTGTGGTGCTGACACTGTCCTCCAGCCATGTGCTATAGATGAAGGAGTCACGCTTGTGGGGCGTCCCTGAGGATGAGACGCTCTCCTGGGGGAGGCAGGAGGAGAAAGGGAGGAGAAAGGGAGGAGAGGGGCCAGGAGGGTGGCTCACACCATGGCACTGGTTTACCACCGCCCCCCACCGCCACGTTCCATGAGCCCCTACCCTTGCCCCACCAAAAGGATGCTAGAGCCCAGGACTGCCGCAGGGAGACCACAGGAGGGCAGGCGGCCTGGAGGCAGGCCCAGACCCAAGCACTCCCATTCGTTCATTCATTCATTCAGCAAACATTCACTGATGTTCTCCGTGGCTTGGACCAGAACAGGCATGGCTCCTGCCCTTGGGGAGCTCAAGGTCTAGGAAGGGAGACAGGCAGAGAAGAGAAGTAATCATCCTAGAATCTAAGCCCCATGGAGCAGGACCTTGGTCTGCATTGTTCCCTGCTGCACCTGCAGCACCTGGAACAGGTAAAGGTTTGCTGACTGAAGAATGACCAAAGGGTGTTAAGGATAAAGGCTAGGGGTTTGTGAGCCTAGAGAGGATTCCTAACCTAGCTTGGGACTGGGAAATCAGGGAGGTGATGTGGGGCTAAGTCGAGGTGATGTGGGGCTAAGTCGAGAAGGATAACTAGAAGTCAGCCAGGAAAAGGGGTAAGGAGGAGGCAGAGAGTTCTAGACAGAGGCTCATGCAGAGTCCTGGAGAGGGGAGTGGGCCTGGTATGTCTGGGGGACTGCAAGGGAGTACAGAGTGGCTGAAGCAGTAAGAGATGAGGTTGGGGAAGGAGGACGTGAGGAGCCAGATGGTCAATGGTCTCGGAGATTGGACTCTCCGTGAAGAGTACTGGGGAGCCATGGCAGGCTTCAGAGCAGGGGAGAGTTAGCGTTGTTCTTTTGGGCTGGGTCCTCAGATCACATTTCAGCCACACACTTCTACCCAGAGCGTCTCCAGGGATAAGAGCCCCAAGCACTGTGCAGCCGCCCCTGGACCTCTTACCAGGCCTGTGTCATCTCCGTCCACACCCTCCGTCTCCTCCACCACGCTGGCGAAGCTGCTGGCACTGGACGAGGAGCGGGAGAAGTCCTTCAGCACTTCCACCCTCTGGGCCGCTGTCTCTGCTCTGCCACAGACAGTGCCCTGTCAACCAGCGTTGCTCTGGGCACGGCCTGGGCCACACCCTCACATCCACCCTCCCAGCCCAGAGAGCCCAGCCAAGCACCTTTGTGCCCCCATTACAGCTCCCTGGACCGCTAAGCTTCCCAGGACTCCCACTGCAGCCTCCCATCCCCACACTGTCCTTCCTAATACCCATATGTGAACATGCCCCTCCCTGCTCAAAACTCTCTCACGGCTCCTCAGTGCCCCCAGATAAAGTCCAATCACCTTGGCTTGGTTTCAATAACAACTAGTTCGTGACTGACTCTGTGCCAGATACTATTCTAAGCACTTTCACATGAATTATCTCACTGCTATCATTAAACCCACCTTACGGATGAGGAGACACCAAGGCACAGAGAGGGTGAGCATGTGGCCCAACGTCACCCAGCCATAGGAGAAAGAACAGAGGTGTGGGTCAGGCCTTCCAACCCCAGAGTGCACTCTCTTAACTCCCCTATAATTCTGTTTCATGCTCAGGGCCTCTGGGTCTCCTGCATGGAGTCTCACTCCTTCCTTTGAATCCCCAAAAGCAAATTCATCTTTCAAAACTCAGCCAAGGGCCCCCTACTCCAGGAGGCCCTCCCTGATTCCTCCTCCCAAGGTGGGAATGACGTCTCTCCTCTGGGTCCTGCACACCTTGTCCCTCCCAGTCCCTGGTCCCTGTAACCTTTTCCTGCCTCCATGTTTGCTCGCCTGACTCTTCAGGCCACACTGAGTCCCCTGACACTTTTGACATCTGGCATGGGGCCTGGCACAGAGAGGCTCAGCCAACATGGGCTGAACAGAGGACAAAGGGGTGAGTGGGTGAAATGTCTGAGGGGTGGCCCCCGAGGCTGGCCCACGTCCCCAGAGCTTACCAAGGCCATACTGTGCTCCTGAGCCTGTCAGCTCCACCTCCCAAACACACTCCCAGCCCCCATACTTCTCCCTTCTTCCATGGCCACCACCTGGTCCAGCACCATCACCTGGCACCTGGATACCTGCAACCACCTCCTCACTGGTATCCCTGCCCCCGCCCCTGTGCCATCCCTTCACACAGCGACCACAGTCAGCTTTGTAAAAGCCTCATTCCCTGAGTCACACTCTTCCAAAGGCTCCTGGTCTCACACAACGTTCTCACACGGCCTCCGAAGTTGTGCCCATCTCTCTGACCTCACTTCTGCCGCTGCCCTGCACATGCCTGCCAGGCCCTGCCCCTCACTCCCTGGCCTTCAACTGCACTGTCTTTTCTCCCCGTCACTCAGCCAAGCTCTTTCCTGCCTCAGGGCCTTTGTACTTGCTGTGCTTTTTCACCTGGAATCCTCTTCCCTCTGCTATGCCAGCCTCAGCATGGTGACTCCTCATTCAGCTCCCCCATTCAAACGTCATCCCTTCAGGGCCATCTTCCCTGAGCATCCGTCTAAAACACTACCCCTGTCATCCTCCATCACATCCCTGTTTCATTTCCCTCCTGTCGTGTCTATCTACAAATGGCTTATTGGTTATGTTTACACTGGACCAACAGCTCCATGATGTGGGGACCACGTATGCCCAGTTCGCTGCTATGTTCCAGGATTTGGCACGGGGTCTGGCGTGCACAAAACACTCAGTGGGTGTGTGTCTTGAGGAGGACCCAAGAGAGCACCCGTGCCCTGGTGACACCCCAGTGTGGTGACACTCTGGTGTGGTGGTATCAGTGTACCCAGGACCTTGTGTCCAGGCTTGGGATGGAAGGGACAAGCCCACCACACCCAAGCCAAGCTTGGCGTGTCCTGAGCCCCAACCTGTTCTTGGTCGTGGGCATCTCCGGGGAGCTCTGAGTGGACGAGGTCTCCGACTTGGGCTCCTGTGAGACGTGCCCGCTGTCTGGGGTCTTCTGGCCAGCCGGGGGGCTCTCCCTGTGGGGCACACGAGGGCAGCGGGGGGATTCAGCACTGAGCCTAGCATCATGGGTAGAATGAGGCCCAGGTGGTGAGTGGAGGTCATGGGCACCTCATGCCTTGTACCCAAGGAGGCCTGGCTCAGAGCACCCCCAGAGCAGTCTTGGCAGACTCCTGGGCTGGCCTGGCCAAAGAGGGGGCAGGCACTGATGGGGTGTATGTGTGACAGGGTACCTACCAACTCCACCCCACTATAGCAGGGGCTATGACTGTCCCCTGTAATGGACGAGAAAACTGGGGCTCTGAGATGGGAAGGAACTTGCCCCGGGACACCCAACTATGATGAGTCCAAGCCAAGATTTGAATCCAGATTAAAGAATTCCGAGTTCTAGTGACGATGCCAGCTCCACTCCCAGCACCTCCTCAGCGCACCATCACCACACTAGGAGCTTCGGGTGCACTGCACTGAATCCTCACAGTGGCCCCACGATGTTGGTTCTGTTCTTATTCCCATTTTTCAGATTTGGACACTGAGGCTCAGAGAGGTACAGTGACTTGCCCAAGGTCACATAGCCCAGCTGTGTGTCATACTCACGAACTAGACTCTGCTTTCCAGGGGCTGCCCGGCTACTAATATGAGTTTTCTGCCCTATGCCTGCCTACACACATGCATCCCCATGTCCCCACAAGCACTGCCCTGGCACCAAGACAGCAGCCCTGGACTCACCTGCACTCGCTGGGGCAGTGGAGAGAGCATGGGTGCTGAGCCTGGACAGACAAGGGCTCAGATTCTAGCTCCGCCCCTCACTGGTTATGTGGCCTGGGCAAGTGCCTCCACCCCTCTGACCTATGACTCCTCCATCCACAAGGCGTGGGTCCCACCAGTGAACCAGCAGAACCGCTGAGGGCTAACAATGTTTCTGGGTATGTGACATGCTGGCCCTGGTGCTGGACGCATGGCAGGGACATGACCACACAGCTGTCACTGCTGGGGGATGCAGAGGGATGGGGCACTCCCTACTACCGGCTTCTCTATGCCATTGAGTGGGGGTCAGGAGAGAGGCCGTGGGGGGACAGGAAGGGGCCCAAGGAGACAGGACTCTGCCCCACCCACCCACCTTTTCTCCTGCACCTCCTGTATGTTCTCGATGCCGATGGCACTGCTGCGGCGTGAGCCGAACGGGCCTGACTTCTTCCTTGTGGGGCTCTTCCCAGGGACAATCAGTGACTGCGGGGAGAGGCCCAACTCAGTACCCGCCTGCTCTGGAAGCCCCCGTGCCCCCCACATGCCACCCTGGGACCCCACTGCCCCAGGCCCTGGAGAGGCAATGAGGAAGAAAGAGTGAGAGAAAATGTCCATCTCCAGAGACAGCCCTCCCAGTTTACAGATAGGGAAACAGGCCCAGCGAAGGCAGGCTCACGCAGCAGGGCTGGCCTGGGATCTTACAGCCCAGGAGGAGAAGGGCAGGGCCCCACTCTGTGGCTGGGAGGGGAGGAGGCCAAGTCCTCTCTCCGCCCTCCAGGTCTCCGTGGGGCCTGCAGCTAATAGGTGCGTGGTGAGAGCGGGCATAGCAAAATCCAAGCCCCTACCCCAGCAGCCAAAAGATAACCTCCCCATTTTCCCACACACTGGGGTGGGGTGCCTCAGGCACCAGGGTCAGGAAGGTGGGCCCCAGGGGGGCACGGAGGGGTAGGAGTCCCCGGGACACTTTATGGCAGGGAGGTGGGGGGCAGTTGGGGCAGAGGGAAAGGATGCTGCTCCATGCAGAACTGGCAATATTGGGGGACGTGCAGCTGGGGAAAGGGTCTATGGGTACCAAATCCCAACAGGGACTGGGCCAGGGTCCCAGGGGACAGGGTAGGGTCAGAGGGCCCTGGTTGGGGGCACTGGTGCTAGCACAAGTAGCAGGCCCCAAAGCAGGCCCTGAGTGCCTTCAGAGCTGCTGGCACTCCGTCCTGCACACCCTTGGGCCTGTCCCAGGGGTCAGGGAGGCAACGTCCCCAATATGGCCGCCGTCCTGAGAGCGAGCAGAGAACAGCGCGTGCAGGCAGCCTCCAGAGCTGGTGGCCCCGCAGACGACAACCTCTTCCACGGTTCCTATGCCTATGGCACTGCCCCGGCGTCCGAATCTACTCGCGCTTTTCCCAGGAATAAGCAATGACTGGCAAGTAGCAGAGGACAGGGGCAGAGAGAAACAGACAGACATCAAGAGAGTTAGAGAGACAGAGATGGCAAGACGGAGAGACACAGAGAGGTGAGACAGGGGAAGGAGGGAAAGACAGATGGACAGAGAAAAACAAAGAAGAGAGACAGAGCAGGGGATGGGAAGAGAGAAGTGTAATCCAGAAACAGAGAGGACAGAGGACACAGAAAAAGGGATGGACAGATAGTTATAAAGACAGAGATAGAGATGGGGGCATGTGAGAGGGGGAGACAGATGGAGATGGCAGCATACAGAGACAGGAACAAGAAGGCAGAGATGGGTACAGGGAGAGACACAGGCAGAGAGAAAGAAAGGGGAAGGTAAAAAGGAAAGAGAGAACAGTGGAAAGGGGGAGGGAGGAGCAAGCAGGTGCAAGAGGAGAGAAGAAACACAAAAGTGGGAGAAGGTAGGGAAAGTCATAGAGAAGAAAAATGGAAGGAAAAACGAAGAGCGGGAAGAGAGCGAAGAAGAAGGAAGCAACATGAAAAAGGTGGAGAGTCGTGCAAAGACAAAAACAGAAATGGGTCTGGTTACTGCCATGGTGGGTGCTGCTGGCCTGGCCCTGTCCCTGGGGCCCCTCTTCGGCCACCCACAGGAGGCTAGGCCCATCTAGAAGGGGAGGGGGGTTGGTAAATCTCGGCGGGGGGGTTGGGCCTCTTCCTTCGATGACAGTGGGCTTAGTAACACTGCTGGACAGCAGAGAACCCACCTTCCTCCCATGGCCAGGCCAGACCACAGGGCAGGGGTTGGGAGGGCTCCCTCCTGCCACGTGGCACAGCCTCACAGCACTGAGCACAGGGCCTGGCATGCAGTAGACAGTCAAATGAGGGAGGGAGGGAGGGAGGGACGGATGGACGGATGGAGGGACAGAGGGAGGGATGGAGGGACAGAGGGAGAGAGGGAGGGAGGGACGGAGGGATAGGGATCGGAGAGCAAAGCAATGGGTGCAGTGCCCTGGATGGCCACTGGGTGGCGGAAAGCAGACAGGCCTGGAGTTAAGCCTTATTTAGCATTCTATACCCCCAGCATTCCTTTAGGTGTTAGCAACAGAATCTGAGAGTCTGGCAGACAGTAAGTAATCACACAGTAGGTGCTCATTCAGGAGATGCTCACACAGAAGCCCAGTTCCTGACACAATAGGTAGTCACAAAGCCACAGAGGCCCTGGTGCATAGTAGGTGCTCACACAGCAGCCTAGGGCCAGGCACACAGGTGCTCAGAGTAGATGCCCACACAGCAGCTCACTTCCTGACACATAGTAGGTGTTCACTGAAATCCAGGGCTCAGCACACATTATGTGGTCATACAGCAGCCCATTTCCTGACACAAAGTTCCCACACAGCAGCCCAGGGCTGGGCACACAGTAGGTGTTCACAGAGTTGATGCCCATACAGCAGCCCAGGACTAGACACACAGTAGGTGCTCACAGAAGCTCAGGACTGGGCCTATAATAGATGCTCACAGAGTACATGTTTATACAGCATCCCAGGACCTGACACACAATAGGTGCTCACAGTGTTGCCATCCACACGGCAGCCTGAGACCTGACACACAGTAGGTGCTGACAGTGTAACCATCCACACGGCAGCTCAGGACCTGACACACAGTAGGTGTTCACAGTGTAGCCATACACACAGCATCCAGGGACCTGACACACAGTAGGTGTTCACAGTGTAGTGATACACATGGCATCCCAAGACCTGACACACAGTAGGTGTTCACAGTGTAGCCACCCACATGGCAGCCTGGGACCTGACACACAGCAGGAACTCACAGTGTAGCCATTCATATGGCAGCCCAGGACCCGAAACACAGTAGGTGTTCACTGAGTAGCCATCTACACAACAGCCCAGGACCTGACACAGTAGGTGTTCACAGTGTAGCCATCCACACAGCAACCCAGGAATTGACACACAGTAGGTACTCACAGAAGCTCAGGGCCAGGCCCATAATAGATGCCCACAGAGTACATGCCCACACAGCAGCCCAGGTCTCGACACAGTAGGTGCTCACACTATAGCCATCCACAAAGCAATCCGGGTCCTGACACACAGTAGGTAACCACCCAGCATCCTAGAGCCAGGCACACAGTTGGTGCTCACACAGCAACCAGGACCTGACACATAGTGAGTGCCCACAGACTGACACACAGTAGGTGCTCCCAGAAACCCAAGGCTGACAGTAGATGCCCACAGAGCAGCCCAGTTCCCAGCACACAATAGACAGTAGGTGCTCAATAAGAAATGTGATACAGAGGCTGCCCCAAGCTGACTCGAAGAAAGTCCACGCCCAAATGAGGGGCTGGGAGGAGAGGAGGGCTGAGGTGCTGGGGAGGTGGCTGCAGGCTCAGCTTCCCAGTGTCCCAGTCTAGGAACTCAACCCTATGAAAAGCAGTGGTTGGACTGAGTCCAGAGCCCAGGATGGGGCCAGCCTAAGGAGGCAAGGGAGAACTGAGGGTCCTGGAGGGAAGTGCAGGAAGGGGGCACTCACTATTCCAGCCGCCTTGGCCAGGTCAGGGTTGTTGGGCGCAAAGCTCCCACTGTGGCTGGTGGACACGGTGTTGGGCTTCTTGTTGCTTAGCCCCATGGCATCCATGGACTGGCTGCGGCTCCGGATGACTCGCTGTGGGGGTGGGGAGGGGGCACAGGCTTCGTAAGACGCCACCACCTCAGGGAAACCCAGAGCTCTGGGCAGCGCCAGGAGCCAGGCATCTGGTCCCTTCATTAACTCCTCCCCAAACCAGGGCCCCACCTAATACTCTATTCCCAGCCGCAAGCTCTACCCCAGAAACAGACCACACCCCCAAGCTTGTTGTTGTCAGGCATCCTTGATTGGGTCCAACTCACAGTACCCTATATCCAACAGAACAAAACACTGCCTGTTCCTGTACCACCCTCACCACTGTTGCTATGTTTAAGCCCATTGTTGCAGCTACTGTGTCAATTCATCTCTTTTTCGCTGATCCCCTACTTTACCAAGCTTGATGTCCTTCTCCAGGGACTGGCACCCCAATACTGCTCTGAGTGACCCCAGGAAGCCCCTTGTCCTCATGAAGACTCAGTTTCCCTATCTGTCACACAAGAGGCAGGTCATGTGGTGCCTACGGGTAGTTTGACTCTGCCACCAATCAGAGGGGTGACCTTAGGCAAGCCACTTCGCCTCCCTGAGCCCCAGTCTCCTCCTCACGTGGCTGTTGTAAGGACTGAGGAAGACACTGGGTCATCACTAAAATGTGCACAGAGACCCCTCCAGAAAACTCAGTTTCCTTCCTTCTAAGGTCTCTTAGAGGTTTCTTCTTTCCTTCTTTCTTTCCCTCCCTCCCTTCCTTTGTCCAGTGAATCTCTACTGACACAAGACCATACTACCTTATATTTGGTCTCTCACTTAATCTACCTATCAGTCCTACAAAAGGGTGACTATTATTATGCCCATTTCACACATGATGAAACTGAGGTAGAGAACAGCTTAGAACCTAGATGCTAAATCCCATGCCCTTAACTGTGGATTCTGCTGTCTCTTAGAAATTCTTTGACCTAATCTAGGTGCAGTGTGCAGCACCTGCCACATGTGGGACCACTGGAGCCCTCTCTCAAAGAAGGCACCCAGACCATGCTCACTCCACCGTTTTGCTGTCTCCAGTGGGCAGAGGCAAGACGGTCTATTCACCTCAGCTGCAGGGTAGGCCTGGGCAGCTTGGCTAATTCCCTTATGCAAATCCACATCTCCAGCTCTGTGGGTTGCCCTGGGGTGAACATGAGGCCTCAGGCCCACCAGGCTAGGCACCTGGAGGATGGGCAGTTCCCTTGCTGTGGGTGGAGGTGACAGTGGCAAAGAGGCGTGGCACTTACACCCTAAGAACCTGCAGCCTGGGTGAGTCCAGAAACTCCTTCTCTGCCTCTCAGTCTGAATAACAAATAGCTGCTGAGGCAGACAGCGCATTTTGTTTTTTAACTTAGTCTAACTGCCTTACAAATAACAACAGTTGTATGAAGTAAGTTGCTATCACCCCACTCAACAGATGAAGAAACAGGCTCGGAGAACAGACAGCTGGTAAGTGGTAACGCTGGGATTTGTACCCAGGGAGTCTGTGCCCTTAACACTAAACTAAACCAGAGATGGCCAGGGTGGGTCACACAGGCCTAAGTTCACACAGGCCAGATGCCTCTTCAACAGCCACCCAGTTCACAGACTCCCTCAGGGACCTCTGTTTCTGTCCCTCTGTGAGAAGACAGGCCTCCTCCCCTCTTCTCTGCATGCTGACCTAGCAGCCAGCCGCCACCCTTGGCACTTCAGCAGAACTCCCTGGTGGACTCCACCCTCAAGGCTAGTCCCTGCCTCCAAGCCATTAACTCCTCCCCAAGCCAGAGCCCTACCTTACACTCTACTCTCCGCAGCAAGTTCTACCCAGAAACAGACCACACCCCAAGCCTGCTGTTGCTAGGTGTTGCTGAGTCAGTTTCGACTCACAGCGACCCTAGGTCCAACAGAACGAAACACTGCCTGGTCCTGCGCCATCTTTACAATTGTTGCTATGTTTGAGCCCACTGTTGCAGCCACTGTGTCAGTCCATCTCTTTTTCGCTGACCCTCTACTTTACCAAGCATGATGTTCTTCTCCAGGGAATGGCACCCCAAATCCTTGGGTCCACCTTGAGACTTGCCCTAATCCAGACTCCACCCCCAACTGGGAACCCGCCTCTAGCCACACCCCCACACCTCGCCTATCAGCTCACCCCCACCCCACCATGCCTCTTCCCCCTCACCCGTAGACCCAGGGAGTAGACCCAGGGACGTTACCTTGAAAGACTCAAAGAAGCCACCGCCCCCGCCGCCGTTCTCCATCTTGTCCTCGTCCCCGCCCAGGCCCATCATAGACTGGCTGTGAATATGCAGCTCCTCATGGAGCGTCTCCAGGAGGGCAGCCCGCGTCCGCTCCTGTGGGCCAGCACAGTGGTGAGGACACCACAGCGATCAGTCCTGGTCCCACAGTTCCAATTCCAGCAGTCAAGTAAGTGCAGAGCGGGGAAGAGTCTGGGCTCGGGACCCTTCGCAGTTCAAGCAGCCCCCAGGGCTCCTTATGTCCCTTCAAGATCTGGCGTCACTCCCCCTCCATTCCCACCACCCCCCAACCTCACCAGCCTGTCACCTCTGAGGCCCCCTCCTACACACACCTCATAACTAGCTGCCCTGTTGATTCTGACTCATGGTGATCTCCTGTGTGTCAGAGTAGAACTATGTTCCATAAGGTTTGCACTGGCTGATTTTTTGGACATAGATTGCCAGGACTTTCTTCTGAGGCACCTCTAGGTGGAATCAAACCTCCAACCTTTCCATTAGCAGCCAAGTACATTAACCATTTGCACCATCCAGAGACTTCACCCAAGCCCTGTTGTTGTTGGTTGCTGCTGAGTCAATTCTGTAGCCACCCCATGCGTACAGAGTAGAGTTGCTCTAGTTTTCAAGCCCAGCTCATTCCTAAATCCTTCCTCCCTGACAGCTGCAAGGCCCTCATCCTTGCCCATCCATAGTCTGAAGAAGGCTTTTCCCTCCCCGGGGGCAGGGCTGAGATTCTAAATTAGAAAGGAGTGAGGGGATCGGCCCCAGCAGGAAACCCACATTCTCACCTCCAGTTTAGCAAACTTCTCTGCCTTGTAGCAGGCGTATTCAGCATTGATCAGCTTTGTCAGCAAAAATTCCTGGAACTCAGGCCCCTGGGAGCCCCCAGCGTGGGGGAGAAGAAAAGAGAAAGGGAGGTCAAGTGAGCACAGGGACTGAACCCTCAGGAGTCAGGGTCTGGAGCTCCTAAGCCACTCCCTGCTGAGGTTGGGGCTGCCCTCACTTCACTCACAGAAGGGTGTCTCCTGGGGCTCAGCTCAGCATCCCAGGCATCTGAGGGCCCTGTGCCTTCATGCCCATCTACCCCCTCAGAAGGGCAAACCCCTCAAATGCAAAGGTCTGGGCTGGAGTCTCCTACTCCTCCATCTGGGGCAGCGGGCATGCTGCACACAGGACTACAGCCAGGGCTTGAAGTGTGGCTCCTGAGAGGAGGGAGTCGTGTGCCCTGTTCCCCAGTTGTCTTAGAGGAAAGGCCACGAAGTCTGCTATGAAAATGTAAAATGGTAGTTGCTGGTTGTGTGACCTTATAAAAAAATTAGTTTTTATCAAGATGGCACAGAAAAGCCAGGCCCCAGGTGCAAGTTAGGGGAGTCCAGCTGCCCCAACACACAGTGGGGCTTCAGGACCTTGTCTGGCAGAATCTGTGCCCCCTCTCTGCCCATGACCAGGGATGGGGTTGCCTCTCACCTTCCTGAACACAGCGGGGTCCGGGAGAGGGGGCCCAAAGAAGGGCACGTCATCCCTGGCAGTGACGGAGACCTGGAAGGGAGGGCAACTGACCCTGTAGAGCCTGGGGCCTCCTCTGCCCCAGCCCCTCTGCCCCACTGTCTCACACCAGCCAACTAAAACCAAACCAAACCCGTTGCCATGGAGTTGATTCTGACTCATGGCAACCCCATGTGTTACAGAGTAGAACTGCTCCATAGGGTTTTCTTGGCTGTAATCTTTACAGAAGCAGATCGCCAGGCCTTTCTTCCAAGGTACCCCTGGGTGGGTTTGCCATCGAGTCAACTGCACTCACAGCGACCCTATAGGACAGAGCAGAACTGCCCCATAGGGTTTCCAAGCAGCAGCTGGTGGATTTGAAGTGCTGACCTTTTGGTTGGCAGCCGTAGCTCTTAACCACTGCACCACCAGGGTTCCCTTTGGTTAGGAGTCAAGCGCAAACCATTTGTACCACCTAGGGACCCCCAAATTATCCCCCCTCTCCCACCCCATGCTGAGCATAGGGCCTGCCTCTCGGGGGGCTCAGTGACTACTGATTGGGTCAGTGAACCCCAGGATTTCAGCTGCTTGACCCTTTGCCCTGAACTTGAGTGGTGGGAAGGGGTGGAGGGCAACAGGAGTAACTGGGGATACTGAAGGTGGGAAGGCTGAAAGAGGCAGAGGAAGGTGATTCTGGGCTGGGGGTGGAGGAGGGTAACAGGCCCCTTTGAGGGGGTGACCTTTGTGGAAGCAGAGAGGGAATGATGGGAATTCTCCCTCATCAGGGCAGAAAGAAAGCTCAGAGCCCCCCAGATGAACCCTCTATTTACAGTTGGGAAAACTGAGGCTCAGAGAGGCCTTGCAGTGGCGACAGCAGAGCTGTGGCTGGAGCCGCTGCTGATGTCTTAGGTCTGGGTCTGAGCCCCTAGGTGCTCCGAGACCACCCACCTTGTAGAGGGGGCCGTCAGGGCCCCCGCCCTCAGCCTGCACCACCACATAGGCGTGCAGAAAGTTGGACGCAATCATGTCGGGCACGAACGGCGTGTTCTCATCCTGGAAGACCACGGCCACAATGTCGTTCCCGATGTGCCGCTTTCGCTGTAACTGAGCACAGGGTCGGGCCGTCATCCCCTGCCAGAGAGGGGCCTTCTGGGGCTAGGGGGATGGTGCCAACAGGGGTGTGGAGGGTTTGGGGTAGGCAAGGGGCACATCTAAGATTTGCTTCCCCCAAAAAAATTTGGTGAAAAACTTCTTAGACTTATTCTGGTTTTCTTAGAATCCTGTGACAGATGAGGAAACCAACGCCAAGTGGGAAGTGACTTACCCAAGGTCCTACAGTGAGCTAAGAGACTCCTGGTCCCCAGACCCTACTCTTCAGTCCTTCTCCTATCTAAGTACCCCGAAGATGCCCTTCATTGAACAAACAAGTTCTACTTGGCATATAATTGTGTTGCTAAAACAAACAGGATCTTATTAGAAAAAAACAAAAAGACACTGAAAATAAAAAAGAAATGTTTCCACTTTTTTCACATTACCCTTTTATCCTCTGGGGTGGGTGGGGGTAATGTGGACAGCACTACAGGAAGCCCAGGAAAAGGGATAAATATCTGAGTCCAGTTCCCTGAATTTGCCTGCACTTCCTCACCTCCGGGCCTCCTACCTCCACACCTCCTACCTCCACCAAGTCTAAGTACCCTCACAGGATGCCACAATGCCCTTCACTCCCATAAGAACACTAGCTCACACTTACTGAGTGCTTGCTATGGACCAGGCACTGTTCTAGTCACTCTATGTATATTCCCTCATTTATGTTCACCTGTGAGGTAGGTGCCATTATTCCCATTTCACAGACTTGGAAACTGAGGCTTTTTATGGCATTGTAGCTGCCTGTCTCCCCTCTCCCAAGTGAATTGAGAGCCCCTGACAGGGAGGGTGGCGAGGGGGTGGGGTGTGGATCATTTCCATCTCGATCCCAAGGCCCAGCACAGAGCCTGGTGTGATGGACACTGGATGGACGACAGGTAGATGGGTTGACAGGTAGGAAGCAGGTGGGTGGGTGCCCAGGCTACCTGCTGGGCGTCCCCTTCTGTGTAGGGCAGCTTGGTGGACACGTGAAACATGATCTCCTTGTTGCGGAAGTTGCAGTACACAGACTCGGTCCCCGTCTGCCCATGGGTCACGTCCAGGCCTCCTCGGAACCTGCCCCCAGGCCCCCCAGGCCACGGCTCAGTCTCCAGCCCCAGCCAGGCCTCTGCAGGGCCAGGATGAGGGCTCCCTCCCTGCCCAGGGGCATGGGTCAAATTACACTGTTTCCTCCACCCTAATGCTCACCCCTTAAAGTCCTGCAGTTTGATCTTCTGGCCAAGAAACTCCAGGAACTCCACAAAGGCTGGGCTTTCCTCATTGGTGCTGAAGAGTTCTTCCTCGGAGGTCTGGGGGCCACACAGAGGGGCTGAGGTCATTGAGCTGGGGCTCCTGAGCAGCCCTGCCCCCCACCCCTGCTGGCACCCAGAGAAGGCCAGAGCAAGGACCCTGGGCAGCCCCTGGACCCCTGGGCCGCAGAACCCCTTGGCAGGTGCTCCCCGTTGACAAAGGTATGGTGAGGTCCCAGATACAGGGCGAGGTGGGTTGGGGAGCAGGGAGGGGGAGGCGGAGCACACCTGCCCGAGCTTCTGGTAAATGACTCCAAACTTGAAGTTATTGCTGATCACATGTTCATCAAAGGTGACGATGAGGCGGGAAGCCTGGGCAGAGAGGAAAAGGGGGTGGGGGGAGATGGCTTTCTTCAAGTTGCCAAGTATTGAGCTCTTACTATGTGCCAAGCACTGTGCCAGGCCCTGTACATGCCTCACCCATTAAATAATCCTCACAACAAGCCCATGAGGGGGATACTCCTGCTGTCCCTGTTTTACAAATGGAGAAATCAAGGTTCAGACAGCTGGAGTAACTTGCCTGAGGTCAACAGTTTACAAGTGGCAGAGCTGGGACTTGAACCCCGGTCTGTTGGATTCCAAAGTTTAAGCTCATTGCTCCAGAGTTTGCCCAGAAGCCCCCCACCTGCCATGGCTGAGCCCACCCCCATGCCACTCTGTAACACCCAACTTGCTCCTTGGCCCCTCTATAAACCCACCACATCTTAGAACAGGCCAAGTCCCACCATCTTGCTGTGGGCCTTGAGCAATTTCCTCAGTTTCCTTTTCTGTAACTGAGAGGTAGAACCTGACTTCTGAGGCCCCTTCCTTTAGCAGACCATTCCTGGACCACACCACCCCTCAGGGACCTCACCCTGCTCTAGAATTCAGTCAAAGCCACAAGAGCCACATGTCTTTCAAGGCCCACCTCTTCCAGAAAGCCCTCCTGGCTCACTGAAGACAGAAGGCCTGACCCTTTTCCCACATTGTCACTGTATCTCAAAACCAGCACCCAGCATCAGAAATGGAAGTACAGCCGCTGCCTGTTGACAGTATTTATGGGGTGCCTTATTCTCCCCAGGTCTCTTCTGGGGTCAGAGGGCAAGGCGAGTGGAAAAGAGACCTTTCGCAAGGGAGGCCTGGAGTCCCCGTGTCTCAGGAGCACAGGCCACAGTTGGCAGGGTTTCCAAGCAACATTGGGAGTTGCCAGCTGTAAGGCTGGCACCATGGCCATGAGACAGATGCTCGAGGTTTTACTGTAGGCCCTCCTTGTGTGCTGTGCATCCTTGGATAAGGCACAGAACTTTCTGGGCCCCTGGTTCCTCTTCTGCAAACTGTGGACTTTGCAGGGTTATCATGAGGATTAAATGAGAGAATTTAGCAAAAATGTCCAGCACACAGTTGGAGCTCAATAAATACTTAGTCCTCCAGTTCCCCACCTCCTTCAGTGAGCAGGACCCAGATCCAGCCATACCTTGGGGTAGAGCACAGGGTAGAACCGGTCCACATTCACATCTTCACACACCAGCTGCAGGAGGAGATAAGGGGGGCTGAGTTGGGGGGAGGATAAGAGGGGTGGGGCCCCTGAGCCTCACTCGCACAGGTCTAGGGGAGGACAGGAGCAGAAAGGCTGAGGGAGGGGCCACGCTGGGGACAACCATGGCTGAAGCAGGACTAAGGGGATCACTGCTGCTCAGAATGGGGTGCAGAGAGCTGGGGTCCCCTGGTACCTGAGAATGCTCTAGAGAGTGCCCAAAACAGGTGAACAGGGGACAGGAACCCATGAGAACAGAGCATAGTGGGAACATGTGAGAAACAGGACTACAGAGACAGGGCTACTGCCCCCGGAATAGGACCTGGGGCTAAAGATGAGGGCAATAAGGCAAAGCCACAGCCCAGCTGTGTGCCCACCTAGCGTGCCCAGAGGGGGCTCAGCATGTGGGGGCCCTGACATGGGTAGTGGGTGGTAGAGAGGCCTCACCTTTGCCATCTGGACCACATTGGGGAACTCAGTGAGGCAGGAGATGGGGATGACGTCATGGTATGTCCGGCACTTGGTCCTGGGAGGGAGAAGGACAGTGAGAGCTGTGCAGTGGGGGAGGGAGACTGGACCCCTCTGCACAAAGACCAGAGGGGGCAGACCACAGGGAGGGCCAGAGGGGATGACAGGGCCTGGGCCTGGCTATGCAACCAGGCAAATCCATGCCCCTCTCTGGGCCTCAATGGCTCTCGGATTATAAGACCTCAGCCCTTCATGCTGTCTTAGGATCCCTCCCCAAGCCCTTACCTGAGCAGCAGCCGCAGGTGCTCTTGGTCCCCAATGACATCATACTTGAGCGAGAAGACCAGGTGGCCCAGGGCCGCGTCCAGGGAGTAGTAATTGAAATGCTCCTGTGTGGCAGGTGGGGGCGGGGGAGTGGGTGAGGTTGAGCCTGGGGCCTCCAGGAAACCAGACCAGAAAAGCCAAGCCCCTCCCAGGTGGGGGTCCTTCACCAGGTAGCAGGCATCACAGCTTATAGCACAGACTCTGCAGGAGACAGACCTGCATTCAAATCCCAGCTCTGCCACTTGCCAGCTGGGTGACCTGAGAAGGTCACTTCACCTCTCTGTGCCTTGGTTTCTGAGTCTGTAAAGTGGGAGTGAGGCCGTCTACCTTGCAGGATGGTGCCAGAGGACGCAAGAGACAAAGTGTCTAGCACAGTGTAGGTGTCCAGTGAACACGTGTAGTAACCTTGGCTCTCTCACCAAAGTCAAAGACCATATTTGTGCCTACTGGGCCCCTCTGGACAAAGATCAGAGGGGGTAGACCACAGGATAGGGCCTGGGCCTGGCTCTGCAACCAGGCAAATCCCTGCCCCTCTCTGGGCCTCTACTGGGAGAGTGGCTGTCTTCCCGCCCCTATCCTTATCAGGGCTGAGCACACAGTAGGTCCTCAATAAAAGTAAGCTAACTGACTGATTGCAGAACTTCTAACTTGGAGAGCTTTGAAGCCAGGGCCCGTGAGAAACAGGAAATGAAACAGCTCATAAACACACTGGATGGCTGACCTGGCAGGTTCTCACCCTCCCACCTTACCTGGAGAAGCAGCCACAGGGTTGGGAACAAATACCCCAGAGGGCACAAGGGGTGGCTATGGCAGGGATGGCACCCCCAGAGGAGCCCAGAGCTGGCCCTTCCAGGAGGGGAAGTCCCAAAGCCAAGGGCTGTGGGTGTCGGGAGACGTCACCCTAGCCTGGCCCTGGGAGTGGAGCCGGATCCCCAGCCACGCCCACCCCAGGAATCATCCTAGGAGTGAGTCCTGTTTAAACATGAACACCTGTGCTCAGAGGACAGGACGAGAGAGAGGTGGAGGGCCAGGGGATGTGCCCCACAAATCCACAGTTTAGGAAGAGACATTCTAAATGGACTTGGGGCACAGAGTCCCCCCAGCCCTGCCTGGGCACAGAATGGCAGAGACCCCTAGATGCTTGTCACCAGCCAGAGAGGGAGGGATAGGCACTTGGCAAGGAGAGCTACACCAAAGCCCTGACCCCACCAATGACTCAGGGTAGGGGGTTTCCCTGGACCCCCCAACCTAGGCCCAGAGGAACCCAAAGGACACAGTGGGAAGGTGGGCTCAGGATCCCAGGAAGTCAATGCACAAAGTCACCCTGACCTTCTTCCTCTGCTGGAACAGGGCCCAATGCTGGAGCAGCTAGCTGCTTCCCCAGTCATTCACCTGCAGTCAGGAAATGGCCCTGCCTCCCTGACAGCCCCCAGGATGGGCAGCCTCCACCCTGGAACCCTCTCCTGTGTACTGATAAACTGTTTCTGGTTACCACACCTCTTCCTTGGAAGTTGTCCCTGATTACCACAGGTCAAGTCAATCCAAATCAACAAAATACACAAGCTCCTCCCATGTGCTAGGTGCCTGGGGCACAGACCAGGCCCTGCCCTGAAAATGGGGCATCTGAACCCCCAACCTGTGTCTCTTCAAATCATTCTGTGCTCAAGGCCCACCAGCTCCATTCCGTTACTCATCACTCCTTCAGCAAACTTTTCTGAGGACCAACTATCTGCTGAGCCCACATCATCCCCCTGGATGCCACCACCTCCCAGACCCAGACCCAGCTGACAGCCTCTGGACAGCGGACACCTGGATGCAGGTCTCTCCTTCCATCCAAATGGCTCAAAGTTGGAATTCCATGCCCTATTCTGGGTTTGGAGTCCCTGGGTGATGCAAACGGTTAAATGTGCTTGACTGCTAACCGAAAGGCTGGCAGTTCAAGTCCACTCAAAGCTCCTCAGGAGAAAGGCCTGGTGATCTACTTCTGAAAAATCAGCCACTGGAAACCCTATGGAGTGCAGTTCTACTCTGACATACATGGGACTGCCATGAGTCAGAATCAACTCATTGGCAACTGGTTTGGTTTTGGTTTTTTATTCTGGATTTCTTCCCAGGCAATGGCCCCGAACCTGGGCCTGCTGGTTTAGTCACAGTCATACCGGATCTCCCCCAATGGCACCAATACCCTCAGGGTCAGACCAATGCCCCAGGCCCAGATTAAGGCCACACAGCTTCCCAATCCCCAATGGAGGACCTCCCTCCTCCCAAAACACACACACACACACACACACACACACACACACACACACACACACGGCTAAGAGTGTGACCCCTCCCACAGTGTCTTATGGAAGGTCAACCAGACCTGTCCAATAATTCCTAGCTCAGTAATTGTGTGACCTTGGCCAAGTCACTTCACCTCTCTGAGCTTCACTTTCTTCTTCTATAAAAACAAAATAATAACCCTGATCTCACAGGGTAATTGTGAAGATTTAATAATAACAGCTAACATTTATTGAATGTTACATGCCAGGCATGGCTAGCTCTATGTACATGTACTTTTATTCCTCATTTTTACAGATGAGGAAACAGGCTTAGGAAGGTTAAATAACTGGCCCAAGGTCACAGTGTCAAGAAATGGAAGAGCTAAGATTTGCACCTAGGCCGTGGGACTCCAGAGCCCAAGCGACACTTCTCTGCTTTGTTGTACACTGACAAACAGACAGCATCTGGCATGGAGCCTGGCACATAAAGCGTCCTAGCATATGCCCACCCCTCTGGCCCCTACCACTGTTTGCCATAACCTCGCCCAGTAACTCCCACCTGAAACACCCTGGTGCAGCACCCTGATGAACTGTCACTGGGCAGGGTCCCTGCCCTGGGGCTGGTGGTGGGGCATGGGGCTGTACAATCCTGGTCAAGCCACATCAACTGTGCCTTCCCAGCCCCCACCACAAGCTGCCCCAGGGCAGGCCCTGGACCTTTTTTTGTTGGCTACCATATACCTGGCCTAGAACAGGGCCAGACACACAGCTGGTGCTCATATTTGCTAACTCTTATTGAATGCCTACTTTGTGCCAAATGCCATTCTAAGCGCCTCATAAGCATCATCTCATTCAAGCCTCACAGCAACCTCAAGAGGTGAGAACCGTTACCATCTCCATTGCTATAGATGAGGAAAAGGAGGCACAGAGAGGTAGAGGGACTTGCTTGATGTCCCACGTAGTAGGTGGCAGAGCGAGGACTCAAACCCTGGTGGAGTCCCTGCATTACCCACAGTGCCAGAATACTGCCTTTTGCAGTAATGTCTGTTGAATGAGCAAACGAATCCCCTATACATGCTCCCTGAGACTCCAGGTTCTGAGACTGTCACCCAGGCCCAGCCAATGGGTTCTGCTCCCTCCCAGGCCCACTCCCTTCCCAGCCCAGCCCCTCAACAGCAGCAGGCCACTCACCTTGCCAAGAAAGTGCTTCCGGTAGACGTGGGCTGTGGGGTTGCACTCGAGCTTCACCTTGGTGGTTGGCGACTGCAGCAGCTCTGTCTCTGGGATGTTGGTGATTTCATGGTTGGTGCCTTCAATCCAGTATCCCCCGAACTGAGGCAGCAGGATGAGGGGGAAGGGCCCTTCTCGCCCCAGGACCTGCAGGAGGAACCTGGCTGAGACCGATCCCACACTGTGCCCCCACCCTGGACCCCAGTACCACCCCCTAGATCTGGAGCCACTTTTGCCATAATTAAGGGGTATTGAAGGAGACCTGGTGGCACAACGGTTAAGCACGTGGCTGCTAACAGAAAGGCTGACGGTTCAAACCCACCCAGTAGCTCCTCAGGAGAAAGAACTGGCAATCTGCTCCCGTAAAGATTACAGCCTATGAAATCCTATAGGGCAGTTCTACTCTGTCACACGGGGCCACTATGAGTCAAAATTGACTCGATGGTACCTAACAACAACAACAAGGGGTACTCGGGACAGCTGGGAGCCTGCGTGAGCCCCCAGGGTTTGTATCCACCCCCCAGGGTACCTGCTCCAGCCCTTTTCCTCCCACTGCAGGCACAGACCCAGACAGCACCAAGCCCCCTGTCCCTGGCTGGAAGGGTCGGGGTAGGCAAGTGGAGCTGGGAGTAGGACCTCGGCCTGAGGAGGCAGAAGTGTTTAGCTCTGAAGTCTTGGGCCTGTAAACTGAGTCCCAGCCCACACAGCAAGGCCCATGGTCAGGTTCCCAAGCAGGAGGAGGACTCAGATGTCCTGGGACTCAGAGTGAGGGTGGGCTTGGGGGTCCAGCTGGTTACCTCATGGACACTCGGGTAGGGTATGTAGTCCTCCTCCGTCTGCAAAACACAAGCAGGGTAGAGCCCAGCTGGAGCGGGTCCTCACCCCTCGCATCTTCCAGTCTGCCTAGAATGACTCCATTCTCAGCCAGCCACCCCGACTGGGTGTGTGGATGGCGCTGTGTCCTCATCTCCCCATCATGCAGATGGGGCAGGGGGTTGCTTTGGGGTGACCCCACAAGGCAGAGGCTGGGCAGACTTAGGTCACTAAGGCCTGGCATCTTCTGGATCTGTCTCCTGGGAAGAAATTTCCAGACCAGTGGTTCTCACTGCATCAGACAGGCCTGGGGGGCTTATTAAAACACAGATTGCTAGGCCAACCCTCAGAGTTTCTGATACAGTGGGTATGGGGTAAGGCCTGAGAATCTGCATTTCTAACAAACTTCCAGGTGACGCTGACACTGCTGGTCTGGGGACCACACTTGGAGAACCACTGCCCTGGAACCCCCTTTAACCCTCATCCCTGTAACCCTGGGTCCACTCCCTGAGGCCCAGCCGCCGGCCTTCCAGGGTTGTTGGGGTCCCTGATACCTGGAACTATATGCCTCTCTGGAGGGGCTGTCAGCTCCCCCCAGAAAATTCTGAGTTGTAAACAAGAGCTTCCCCTCATGTACTTCAGTGCTAAGCCTCCTGTCAGTCTCCACATGGGTGTCTGGGGGGCAGTGCCACCCCACCCCCAGACCCCCACCCTCCACCCCAGGCAGAAGCTACATGGAGCAGTGGCTCAAAGGCCTTCTAGCTCTGGAACTGAGTCTTCTTGCAACTGCTGACCATAACTGGTTTTAGCGAAAACATTTTGCAGCAAGCTGCCTTCTGAGAGGTGGGGGTCTCGACTTTAGAGCGGGAGATCTGGAAAGCCGGAGGGGCAGGGGTGGTGAGTTTACGGAGGCGAAAATGGGGTGGGGAGGAGTTGGAATGGAGGCTCCAGCCCTAGGACAAGGGAGGAGTTTTCAGTGTCTCAGGTCTCCCGGAGGGGCACCCCCACGGCCCCAGACCTGATACACAGAAGTGACCACTTCATGAAAGGGGGGCTGGATTCTCCTGGCTGCTGCTTCCATAGGTGCTGTGACAGTACTTCCTTGACCCCATGCTACCACCTCGGAGTGGGGGGGATGAGGGGAGGAGTCTGATCCCCTTCCCCATCTCCCCTAGGTACCCACACTCTTCAGAGGGGGCTGGTCCACGGGGGTGGGCAGGGGGGCTGTGGCGCAGACCTACTTTGAGTGGTGGTGGGAAGGAGCATCGCTGTTCGTCCATCCTGCTTCCCTGCAAAGAGAAGGCAAGGTACCCCATCACCCGCCCATGCCTGCTGCGGGTTCTGCCTCCCCACTGGTGGGTTGCACCCCTTTGTGTGTGGAAGGGAAGCCACAGGAGGGGCCCGTGGATGAGGGGTGCTTCCCAGGTGGGGCACTGGCCCTCTCCGTAGGGCTGGCTGTCCTGGGTGGTGCCCTAGGCCACGGAGGCTGCCAGAGTGGGTGGGGGCTGGGCTCTGCGCCGGAATGCACGTGCCGCTGGGAGTGGGGGCGGGGGCACTGTATGCAGCCTGTGTGTGAGCCTGTGCGGGGGGCGGGAGGGGGTGCACTGCCTCTCCACAGATGCATGTGGTTAAGGGAAAAAGGTGGAGACAGAAAGACTAGGAGAGGCAGAGAAGAGGAAGGAGCTGAGAGCAGCAGGGGGTTTGGGGGTGAGCTGACATCAGGCAAAGCTCCTGAGGTTTGTTCCCATCACCCCCACCCCTGCCACCCGCTGCCTACCTTCCAGCACATTCACTTGCAGAACTCAGACAAGGGCCTCTAAGACCAGGACTGGGAATGGAGGGTGGGCAGGGGTCAAAGGAGGGGCTGCACCCCAGGATGTCAGGCTCATTAGCCCTCCCGCTGCCTCCGGCTGACAAGGTCCCCCACACCTGTCCCCTCCCCCCATTCCAAATGGGGGTCCTGCAGAGCCTGCAGTGCCTCCAGTAAGGTGGGAGTGTGCACTTGGACAAGTTCAAGAGTTGATACTCTCAACCTTCCTGGTGCGTGGTGTGTGTGTTGGGGTGGGGTGTCTGAGAAGCAGACTTCAGACCTACTGGGGACCAACACAGGGATGGGAGCTAGGGAGGCACAGGCTGGGCCCTGGGTCAGACAGGGAGCTGGGCCGGATTAGCCCCATCTTCTACCCTGTCTCCCAGACAGGACTTTGGACAACATGTTGCCACCACCTGCTCCTGGCCAGTCTGCAGAGAGGTATAGGGCTGAAGATACAGCCAGGGACCCAACCCTCCCACCCCCAACCCTCGCCCAGCCTGCTCTGGGGTTCCCCAGAACAGGTTACAGAGCCAGCCTCACCTGCATCTTTTCAATCATCTCAAACAGATCTGTGTTCTGCAACAGAGATGGGGGAGTGAGGTCAGTCCTAGGGGTGGCCAGCTGACCCTGCTCAGCCCCCAACAGTCTCCACCCACCCCAGCCGTCCTGCCCACTCACTCTGACTAGACACCCTGGCACCTGTTTGGGGCAGCAAGGGGGAGTGGAGGGGGGCATTGTGGGAGGGGACTCTGTCCATTAGACCCACAGAGTTTGACCAATTGTCAAGTGAAGTTAGCCCAGCGCCCAGGGCCCACTAATGCAGCCCAATCCCCTCTGTCCCCTTCCTTAAGGGAGGAGGCGACTGCCTCCAACACAGAGGGTTGTGACTCTCAGATGAAGAGCCAGGGTTGGATGAGGGACAAATCTCCCCCAGGCCAGGGGGGAGCTGTGGCTGAAGGCTGGCAGTGCCAGGATGGGAACATGGACCCCTCAGAAGAGCTGGGAACCCAGACCCAGGTCCCCGCCCCCTCCAGAGACGAACCAGCCAGGCTCCCCAGGAGGTGTGTGGGTTCTACCATCCCTCCACAGGATTCCCTCAGGGTTCCTGAAAGAGGGCGGGGTCTGGTGAAGCCAGGCCATGGGCTCCTCCTCAGAAAGCAACCCCCCAGGCAATGTGGACTGGGCAGCTCTTTGGGAGAGAGGATGCCAAAATGCCTCATTGGCCCAATACCTGTGTGTGAGCCCACACGCACCCTCTGACACTCGAGCCAGCCTCTCTGGAGGCCAGCCAGGGCACACACAGGGTTAATCAGATGTCTGCCAGCTGCACTTGGCAGCATCGGCCTCTCCAGCGCCAACTCCCTCCAAGCCTTCCTGGAAGGCGGCATCCCTGCTGGCTGGTAGGGCTGGGGGCTGGGCCTGAGGAGCCCCCCAGGTCTCCAAGGTGGTGGCCCTCCCCCATCCCCCCTCCAAGGCCTCAACTCAGGGGCTCCTGCTGCCCAGTGGGACACCGCCTAAGCTCACACACATGTGCTATGGGGTTGTGCACCAGTAAACACCCCACACACGTACATTCTCTCTCTTGCTTATGCTCACACACACACACACTGGCCTGCACGCCAATATTTAAACACAAAGTCTCACTACCACATGCATAGTGTGTGTAGCAAGAAAGCAGCACACACACAAACCCACAGGGTCTGTGCACACCAATTCTTAGACTCAGAGCCATGCTAACACACAAATGTACGTCTGTGTCCCAAGTATACACAAACACACCCACACAGGTATGCACACCAAGACTTAAAAGCTACACTCCCATGCACGCAGGTCCATGTATCCTGAGAAGCGCACGCACAAATGCACACCCACATCCGTAATTACACACAAAGCTATACAAACACCACAAAACTATTCATGTAGGCACACCGAGAGATACAATAACAGGCACTCACAGCTATAGGCAGGTGTGTGCATGGAGATTTAGAGAGAGCCCCATATACTCACATATACAAGCTTCCCCTTCAACCTGAGTCACACTCCCATGTAACAGGCACGATCCGGCAATATTAAAGGAGAGTTTTGAGAAAAGGAAAAAGCATCCAACAACTGCAGGTGTGGTTAATCACCAAGGATGAGGGGTGCAGGCCTAAACCTTACCCCCCACACACACACCCATGAGTACACACCACCCATCACACACACACATACCCCATGTGCACACTCTGAGGCCTGCGCACTGAGGCAAAACCCACCCTGTAAAATCTATCACAGAAGTCCACAGGAGAGGCTGACCTACAGTCACATATTGCCACACCCCACACCACCAAGAAACAATTCCATAGTCAATTACAGCAGAAACCACAGACACACATCTGCAGCCCAGGCAGACAAACACACCTGTCAACCCAATATACTGTGCAACAGCAACACTGGCCTCTACGGCCAGGTCAGCCACTCAGCCTCAACCCTAGTCCCAGCGAGACACAGTGATGAGGGGTGCGTTCATGGCCACCAAGCCACCCCACTCAGGATGACTGAACACAACCGGGAACGTTGTTGCACTGCGACTCACAGTCACGTAACACTGACACATGGTATTGTCACCCAGAGTGTACACATAGCAACAAGTAACACCCACAGTTACAGCCTAACAGGGAGCAGCAGACGCCCTGACACATGGCAAAGGCTGTAAGTGATGTGGCCCAGATGGGGGCACCGCCACTGTGCCAAGCACCCTGGCACCATCACAAAGTCACACTGTGATCCTTAGGCTCAGATCCCCTGTAAAGGGCACAGGGAAGGAGTAAGTGGTCCCCAAGGTAGTACACACACACACACACACACACACACACACACACACACTCAGGGTATACTACTGTAACCCAGAACCACAGTGTCACCACAGGCATTCTGTCCCGTGGGCAGCTAGAAAAAGAACCCCAAGGCCCGGGACCCCAAGGGAGGGGTGATCCCTGCGGCCGCCGTGGCCGTGTGTCAGCCCAAAAACTAACACACCCACCGTGACGGAGCCTCGCACACCCGCCCTGTCCCGGGCAGAGCCTGCCGCGCTCCGAGGAAGTCTCGCAACACGGACCCCCCGGGAATCCCCTCGCTAGGCCGCCCCTGCCCCAGCCCTC